CCAGCTCCACCTCCTCTTCTGCCTATTGCTGGTGTCTCTAAACCATACATCATGGCTGGTCTCACCACCATCCTGTAAACCTTTCCCTTCACCTTATATATATATATATATTATGTATAGAATATATATTATAATACATATAATAAGATATTAATATATAATATACATACACGATACAGCAAGTTACATATCTATTTTCTTGCTCTAAACATACCAAATTATGTAATTTAAAAATAAAATATTGTATATATAATGCATGGAATAAATAAAATGACAATTGACTGATTTAGAGTTACATGACCTTATACCTGCTGTATCAAATTTGATATGTCGTATTTTCAACACGATTTTACTAAAACATAGATTATGAAATTATAAGTATTTTCACATTGCATCAACCCAGCAACTATTCCTATTGACGTTTCAGTAAAATTTTGTAATGTTTTCCTCATTTTAAGCTTTTCAAACTTGACAAAGTTCTTCTTCAAAAACCACCAAAATGTCCAAATCCTGAGTCATGGCAATCTTGTAGTGTCACTGGAAGGCCCGCTAATGAGTGAATTACTATCCCCTGTTGAATTATCTGTGCACTACATGTATCTGATTGTATATATCTGGTTTTTCAGGGGAAAAATATCACACTGTTCATGTGGAGGGCTGTAAAACGCATGTATCAAATATTATACGTTTGGCATTATAAGGTTAATGTGATAAATCTAATTTTCCAATCACTCCTGATTGGATTAATAAAACTGTTAAAATGATACGTTTGGGCTGAAGCCCTAACACATGACACCCACGTACAGGAGTGCACTGACACTGTGGAGACCGTCAGTAAAGCTCTAGAACAGTCTAGACTCATTACTTGGCCCATTTGAACCTTTTCATTTTAATATCATTCATTTTTATTATTAGATTGAAACAAGACTCTTAGCTTCTGTTGGCTTTCTTTATCAGTTGTTCTCCAGACCTGTGTTCAGCCTCACCATCATAAAAAAGAGGGATATCTAATGGAAAAAGGTGTTTTTCCTTCTTCTTTTTTTTTTTTTTTTTTTTTTTGCTGCTGTCATACCTTTCTGCACAGTTGTCCTGGCAACGGAATACAGTCATTTTTTTATAGTCAAAAAAGGAAATGCCTCTGAGTGCTCTTTTCTGCGTGTCGTCGACAAAGCAGCCGAAGAACTTTGCTGAAAGAGAGACAAAGAAAAACAAACATAAGTTTATTAAGTATTAGACAAAGTAAATGTGTTTTTTATATCATGTTTTAATAATTAAGAGAGTTGGGATGGTGAATACTATCAGCAAGTGGTGCTTTATCCTCAGTGCAGAAGCTTGCAGTCCACCAGGAATCCAAACTGGGGCAGAATCTTCACTTATTTATAAAGACACACAACCCCTTCTAGTGGCCTGTGAGTTGTTAGCAGTCACTTCTGCATTTTTTCAGAAGAGTGTGTGTAGGCCGTAATGTGAACCACGAAAAGTCCTTTCGAAATTGAATTCCGCTCCGACGTCTGGGAACTACACGATCTCAACTTCATAAATAAGAATGTTACGTTAAACTTACAGTCGAGTAGCTCATTGATGTCAACACTTACGGCATACTTAACGTTACCGATAGAGAGGAATTCTCCCAAAAGTCTTCTAAAGTGGGCCAAATGGATTCTAAACAGTGCTTCATACATAGCCGTCTGCATGAAGAACAATGAGGAAAATAGACGATAAGGTGAACTTTGTATGTTAAGTCATTTTGATCAGTGAAAGGAAGTAATCACTGTTTTTGTGATTTTGTGACAATTTGTTTATTCATTCGTTCATTTATTCGCTCCTAACTAAATACAACACCAATCAATCATAAAGAACGTTATTAAAACATATATACATACAGTATATACAATATATAAAACAATACAAAACAGCAAAAGAAAATAAATGGTAATATTAACCATGCAACCACTACAATACAACTCTGACGCTACACATGAAATGTTAGTCTTCACTGTCAGTATCAGGG